TTATTACGTTTGGTGAGCGCCAATCATACATAATAAAAGTGGTGTTTACAAACTGCAGCTCGGAAAAGATAACCACATCGCGCATGGACCTGTGTTCATGTGCACGCACAGGAAATGAAGCTCACACTTTGCAGCAGCAACCTCTGTCCAGTCCAGTCCCGAGAATATGTGGGCAGGAGGGCACACTCCTCACAGGCGCACATCATTTAAAAAATACGCAACAATTATCTAGTGTCTCGGTCAACTCTGGACTAATACAAAACGGAAAGCAATGGATTGAAATTAACTGTTGATTAAATATTGAATTTAAAATGTTGATTAGCTGGGCATACTAGGCAATATGGATATATATGTATCGCTGTTGTCAGAACAAAACCTCGTATCTCCAAAATAGTAACTTCACAGGAGAAGGAAAAAACCTACTTTACTTTTAATGGAAGTCAATGGAACCAGACTTGTAACCAAGTCATTTTGGGCTGTTTCTTTGGGTCCATTCATCATGAAATTTACACACAATGTAAAGGGCAACAGGCATTTTCAAATTGTGTCAAAAATGGAGAATCAAGGTTTTGTTCCAACAGCAGTGATATATATACATATAAATATATAAATACTTTATAATTGAAAATGTATAAAAAGAAAATTTGGGGGAGTCAGTTTGAATGGACCTGATGCAGCTGATAAAATGAATACTCTAATACTCTTTATTCATAATTTTTCAGCTATGCTATATAGTTTGTTTACACCTCATTCTGGTCTATATAGGTCTACTTATTCTTAGACCAACAGATGGAGCAAACTGTATAGTAGTGTGAACACTGGGGTGTCAGGTAAGGCTCTGGAACCGCTGCTCTAAAAAACATCCATTGAAAGTTTTTTACGGAACCAAAATCTTTTCTACAGCATTGCACAAAGAACTCTTTCTGGCACCTTAATTTTTATGTGTTCACATATATTTTGTTGTTATGCACTTTTTAATCTTTATCACAGTATCTGTCTGATTTCTTTGTGTTTTCAATGTACAACCCGAGTTGTGAATTTGAGTTTATGTAATCCTCACTTTCACCTCCAATGGTGAACATTGTAATCACGTTCATCTACAGTACCCACAGTATTTCACAGTCGTGGTTCACAGTGTTGTAATTGGCCATCACTATTGGTCACTCATCTTGGACTCTCAAACCAGAATGTTGTTGCTGTGTGGAAAAGTCCACTTGTACTGTAACTGCTTTGTTCTACGATGTGGATGTTGACTCATCAGTATGCAGTGTGATGGATACATGGCTGCTCTTCCTCCACTGGTGAAGTGGGTGTGGTGCCGCACTCTTCGGCCTGTCTTGTCTAAAGTTACAAGGTCATCTCTTTGTACCCACATGAGGGGAATGCCTCAAGTAAACACACACTTCCAATGAACTCTAACAGGAAAATAACTCGTACAAGGCAATCCTATAAACAGTAGAGGCACAAGTCTGTCTTTTCTACTGATGTTAAACGTGCTATATCTCTTATTAACTGATTCCAGTGTTTTTATAATGTTCCATGTTTTTCTATGACAAATCTGTGGTTGTCTGAGAGGCCTGCATCAGTATTCAGTCATTCTTCAGCCAGAAAACTGCTCATTTGTGTGATATCCATCTCCTTTCTCTACCTATTTCAGTCCTGTAACGTGTTTCTTGTTTTCATAATGCTCCCTGAGTCATTTCAGATGCATATGAATCACAAATCTGACAGGTATTTATCAGAAAACTAGGGAATGATCAACAACAAACCTGTTGCGTTTAACTGCATAACTGCATGATGCAACAATCAAATGATGAGGGTCGATGTTGAAGGGAATAAAAATGTATCAACTTTTTGTCGTGTTTTTTTTGGGGGGATTTTAAAAATGAGCGACGAAACATTGAGTGTGTTTACATGTACTGAATAATCCGATAAATGCATAAAATCAGATTTTGTCAGTAATCCGATCAACACGTTTACATGCACTTGAGTAATCAGGTAATGGGGAAACTCCAGGTCTACATGAGTCAGACAGTAATCAGATTTCTGCTTTGCAATGAGCCAATAAACTCACAGAGGAAGACGTGACCTAAACGTAATGTAAAACTCAAACTTTATGCCAAGGCTTTTAAAAAAAAAACATTGAGACACTTTACCTGATCATGTAGAAGATGAAGAATATTTAAATTCTTCATTTCATCAAGCATGTATTTGGTTTCAGTGTCGCTCCAAAAGTGTTCTGCTGCGTCTCTCCGTGACGCTGCTTGCTTATTTCTGGTACCGCCGGCTTTTTTCGCACATGCGCAGACTGAGAAATCTGAAATCTGAGTTTACATGCACTGAGAAATCTGATTACTGAGCTCACTCCGATCTAAGAAATCAGACTAAGCTGTTTACATGACCATTTAATAATCAGAAAACTACAGATGTAAATGCACTCATTAACAGTTGTTCAGACATCCTGTGGCCGGACTTGAAGAACCACATAAAGAGCTGGATAATCAAACCCATTTTTCTGTATGAGCTCTGTGGTAAACCAAAATGTTGCAAACTCAACATGGTTTTGCCATATGTTAATTTTTAATTTGAATATCGCTGCATCCTACAAATAGTGCTATTTCAGCGGGCACTGAACTGACATCATGAGACTGAAAACCTCAACAAAATACCCCACGAAAACCTTCAAACTTTGCCAAATGTGGGGGTCCAGTTGATTTAACAGCAGTTGCCTACAGTTATGTAGCTGGTGTTGTACTATTATTGTGGTAAATTATAATAAGATAAATTGTACTCTAGCTTAGAGCAGGACTGGTAGTTTGACTGCGGCAAGGATGTAGCAATATTCGCATTTAGGACTCCTGAAAACCTCAAAATCCAGAGGATCTAGTAACATATGCAGGACAGAACATATTGCAATCGCAGATTTTTGAAAACCTCGTTTATTTTTCCTGTAGAGAAAATCTGCTTAGACCCAGAGTTCCTTATATGGGCATGACACCGCTTACACAGTATGACGCACAGCTTCCGAGGTCGGTTAGCTCCACATAAACACATTTAGGACTTTGTTCGCATCCCAAGTGTGTCCTTGTTTCATCTTCTTGCTCATTTCTCTCTTGGTTTACCAAGCAGATGATGGAGGAGGTGAGACAAGAAAGAGCTAATGCCAGTCTATCTTCATCCTTTGCTCTGAATTGCATTAATTGACATGTATACCAATGTGTTGAGGAGAGATCGCTAAGCTAACACTACTCATACAAACATTCATGCAGAAATGTGTGACTTTCAGACTATTCTTGCAGAAAGCGTTTATAGGCCATGGATATCAACCAAAAGTGTAAACCGCTGTATTTTCCTCGACTCATTTTGTTTAATATTGGGACTCCATTAGAACTTTCTGCATTTCCTTTGAGTCATGTTCTCTGAGCTTGCCTGAGTACCAATCTGATTGGTGAGTTTTCAATTCACTTATCCCATTAAATGTGGTCTTTTGGGAAAATGTGACTGCTGATTTTCAACAAAATAAATGTGACTGTGTATAAAAGTATGCAAATTATATCAAAATTCAAAGAGGCACGGTTAGACTTTCCTTTCAAGATATAGCAAAGTGTATACTAAATCTCAGATATCCAAAATTTCATCACTTAAGAGCAATGAGAACACATTCTGGGGCTTTCTTCCTCATTGTACAAAATGTAGTTGGACTCGAATGGGTTAACACAGTGAGGCGTGTTGAAGTGGAGGGGCTGAATCTCAAATAGCTCCCTACTTACCTATGTAGTGCACTATGTCAGTTACGAAATATTGGCTTTTTCACCCAAAGAGTGTTCAAAGTCATATGTCCGTGTAGCTGAATCCCAAAAGGCTCTCTGTTAGTTTGTTAGACAGATTTTACACTGTTTAGGTGCAGGAGCCAATATTTCAATACCTACATTGCAGAGAAGGGTGCCATTCGAGTTTCAGTTTTTGAGGAATTAATATTTTCAGTCATAATTTTAAATCTGTTGGTGGCCTTTTAACTATGACAACGAAACTCATACTGACATTGGCCAGTTTTCATTTTTTATAATCACAATTTTTCACCACATAAATATTTCTAATGGAACAATAAGGACATCTGATACTAAAATAAACCTTTTTTTTCCATCAAAATGGAACAATAATGGATTTTTGTTTTAGATTTATGGAGAAACACTTTTTCCAGCTACTTCAAAAGAGGTTTTTGGTGCAATTCCTGATTACTCCAGTCAGGCCCAAAAAATCCCGTCTTGTTCTTCTCCTTTAGATTCTTCCACTTTACTCATCAAACAGTGTCTTTTTATGAGCAAAAATGTTTACAAATAATAAAATAAGATCCGTCCTTCACAGAACTTAAGCATCTGTTCCAACTTGTATTCACTTCTGGAATAACAAATAATTTAACAACACCGAAGGAGGTTTTGGTGCTTAGAAAGGATTTTCTCCTCTCCAATAAAACTGTGAAAGCCTCCCTTAAAATGATTTATAATTGTTACCCAGTAAATTACAGACCGGATTTAACCCTGCTGTTATGTCAGATTGCTCTTGCTGCACTTTCTGAAAAGTTCTGGAATGATTTTTCTAATTTTCTTCATTTTTTTCCACTTTTTGGTGCATTCACTAGAGGTGAAAGGGCCTTTAATTGTGCCTGTATTGTTATTTTTGGCAAAAGATTATATATGCACAACAATAACCCCTATATTTTTGTTTTAGAAAAAAAAACAATGTTTTAGCACACTCTAAATCTGTGAATCCTCTTGTAAACTGTAGCACTTATAAATTAATACAGTGTTCATTTTGCCTCGTTGTTACGTCTCTTTGTATGTACATTATACATTTTTTATTAATGTAAAGTAACTGCACTTTAACCGCCAAACGTTTTAACCACACCCCAAAACAATCATAACCACGCCCCCGCGGTTTTCAAACAACCGATATCTTCAATCACGCCCCTGTCCCGTAAGCCACGCCCCCTTTCTGCATCCGTCTCTCCTTCACTGCGCGTGAGAAAGCTCGGCTGGTTTTGTGCTGTACTGTTTGTTTTCTATGCCCGAAAAAAAGTCCTGAGAGAAACTTATCGGCCTCACAAACGATTAGAAGTCAGACGTTTTCACGGTAAGTCCACATTTACGCTTCGTGACTTTATAGTAAGCGTTGGGAATCTTTCAGCTGTGGTAATGTAGCGACTCAGGGCTTTGCGTGATTTCTCGTTTTTGGGTGGAGTAGCCTTCAGTCAAGTGCGTTCACTTTAGCTCATTTTAAAGGCAGCAGCTAAAGCGAGAACATGTAGCCGTTGTGTGTTTGTTGGCAGACTAGTTAAAGCCTTTTAAAACGTCTGCATAATTCACTGTTTAAGATGTAAACAGAGCCATTCAGAGTGGTTTGGTGTGAAATGGTTCATTGTAGAGACTCAGATTTCTTTACAGTGGTGGTGATGGGAACCGGGGGTCACCATGTCTACAACACAAATATAGTCATTTTATTTACTATCCAAAACCACAAGTGAACCTACACGTGCCCTCTGGGTTTGTATGTTTTTATATGTTACGTTGAAGGTGGTAAAATAATGATAAATCTGAAAATAAGTTTTCTTTAGGGACTATTTTGCCTTGCAACTCCCTGCATGTATCCCTCCACCATGAATGGATTAAAATAAATCACATTTCAAGCCAAAACTATGTAACTAAACTGTTATAAGACAATGTGTCAGACATCAGACAGAGTATTCATAACCGTGTCATGTAATAACTTTCTGTGCGGGAGCTTTTAGAGGTGGACGTCTGGTTCCTATCACCACCACTGGGAACAATTCTGACTCTAGAACAGAGCATTTTGCACCAAACCACTCTGAATGACTTTGTTTACGTCTCAAGCATTCAACTATGTAGAAACTTTGAAAAACCAGTGGAGTTCCCCTTTAACAAGTCTTTATGCATTTAAACTAACAAATATTGGCTTTATATTCACATGAGAATCCCATGTGAAATAAAATGAGTTTTAAAAAGGAGTCACTCTGAGGTTAGAACTTATTACTTTATCATTATAAGGCTTTGAAAGGAAAGTTGGATGTTTGGTGGGTTTTTGGGCCACCCCGTACCCCTCTCTCTTACTCTCTGAGCCAAGTCTGACAGTTGCAGGGTCCCATATGGGTGCTCTGTGTGTGTCCTGCTGGAAGGATGATGAGAGACCATTGGTTGACCCCCTGTCACACACTGTAATTAAGCTGCTAAGGCCCAGCTGAACTGATAAACGTTGATATGTAGAAGTTTAAAGTTAAACATTCTCTGATACTGAAATAAGTCAAATTCAGCTTCATCAGCTGTTAGACCAGAATGCTTATGAACCTTGTGATGATACAACCGATCGAGATGTGGTACAAGTCATCAATCATTATCAAACATGATTACTCCTCATTAATCACTGCAGGAGTTGATTATGGTGTCTAATATAAAAAAACATACATAAAATCAGTCCCTGAGATGTAAACAGTCATTCAGAGTGATTTGGTGTGAAATTGTTCATTGTAGAGAGATTTCTTTACGGTGGTGGTGATAGGAACCAGGCGTTGCCATGTCTACAACACAAATATAGCCATTTTATTTACTATCCCAAACCACCAAAGAACCTACATGTGTCTCCTGAGTTTCCAGATGAATGTTGATGATGGCAAAATAATCATAAATCAGTTGTCTTTGGGGATTATTTTGCCTCACAGCACCCTTCATGTATCCCTCCAACATAAATTGATTTAAAAAATATATGTTTTAGGCCAAAACCTTCTCAAAACTGTCTTTAAAAAGTTTTAAGATCTGTGTCATTTGTAACCAATTCATGTGATAACTTTATGTGAGAGAAGTTTTAGAGGTGGATGTCTGGTTCCTATCACCAACATTGAGAACAATTCTGACTCTATAAGTTTCTCTAGAAGAGTTTTTCACACCAAACCACTCTGAATGACTCTGTTTACATCTTAATGAATTTTGCAGATATTAAGTTTGGAAACCCATCTGTGTTCTCTGGCGTTTTGAGGACTTTGGTATGACTGTTCTTCTTCAAACGTCTTGAAATGTGAACATGGCCCATCTGATGGTCTTACAGCTTCAGAAGCACTTTCCTTGCGCAGCTGTTGAAGGATGTCTGTCCAGAGTGTCCTTTTCTCAAGAAACCTTTTTCATTAGAATTAGAAGTCCTACATTTAATGCTGAAATATTCTACACGTACGTCCTTGCTTTTTGGATTTTCCACCTTATAGGCCTGTACAGAACTTTATATGAGGTATATATATGAGGTCTCTGTATGAAGATGCCCTTTTTGGGTGTTTCTGTGTTTAGCCCACCTGCCTTTAAAGCACCTGTTGAAGAACAGATGCACACTGCAAATGGTACAGTGCTGAAAATGACCTCTTAGCTGGGTGGTTATTTTGGGTCCTTTCAAACTTAAAACTGGGATATTAGACTGAAAAATGTGCAAAATCTATACAAACACATTTTCTCATGTTTGTACTGTGGCACTATTTTGCGTCTCAGAGGCAACTATATTATCTGTTGTGTAACTGTAATCATTTGTAGATGAATTCTAAAAGTGAATAATATTGTTTCTTAGTGTCTGTTTCATTTAGGTTTTATATAGTGTGGTTCCTATATTCTTTGATAGCTTCAGAGTGTTCACAATGGCTGTAATGCAAAATCCCAGCCTTATTACATCCTAAGGCTTATTATTCAGTAATTACATGGGCTACAGTACAAACTAGCTGAGTTTGCTTTATTATGTTTTTATGTCATTCAGCATAAAATCATGAACAGTGTCCAGTTTTCTCCCTTTCCAGGGTTCAGCTCTTTACTGTTAAACTAAACTGAAACTAAAAAAAGTATAAAATAAGCAAACATTGCAGCTTAAAGGAATGCAGTGCTGTGCAAAAGTCAGAGACCACCTTTCATTAATTGATTTCCACTCAAAACAACCATCAAGTACAACTAAATTATTTTTCAGGAAAAAAAAAACAAAAAAAAACAAAAAAAAACAAACAAAAAAAAAAATATATATATATATATATATATATATATATTTCAGATGTTTCAGTATTTAGTGTGTCCACTCTTTACCTTTATTACAGCTTTCATTGTTTTCAGGAGACTCACTTTCAGTTTCTCAAAGAAATCTGTAGTCATTCCGCCAAAGTTCAGTCTTAGAAGTCGGTTTTTCATTTTCTACATCCAGTAATCCCGAACACATTCAGTGATGTTGAGGTCTGGACTCTGGGGTGGTCAGTCCATTGTTCTGTTTCTTTTTGATGTGTCTGTTTCCTTTTCAGAGTAAGAGCTTCTTGAACAGCTACACATCCTTTTCTGATGGGGACTGTTATAGTGGTCTGCCAGGTTATGCAGGTGATTGTTAGGAGTCCAATTTTCTCTGTAGTTTTTAATCATTTTTTAAACTCCAGTTTTGGAAACTCCTGTTTTTTTTTCACTCATTTTCTTTTGACATTCAAAAATATCTTCTGAAAAAAGAATCATTTGTACTCAGTGCCTATTTTCACTGGAAATGAAATGAATGAAGGGTGGTCTCTGACTTTTGCGCAGGCTTTATTATCACACTGTGTTGTTCAGTTATCTAAAATAGACTTGCATGCGTGGTCTCTAGCACTGTATGACACTGTTATCTATAAAAATAGACAGAAGTACATAAAGTACTGTTTTTAGTAGGGAGGAATTAATACTGTTTTTTTCCAAACTGAGTACTAGTACACGTTTTAATACTCACTGAGTAATGAAGCAAATGAAGTACATTAGCTAGCTATGCTACATTAATTACCCTGGAACAAGTAGCGCAGCAATGGAGAAGAGTGGGCTTTGTTCTATGTCAAAAAAGCGCTTCTGTACAGCTGTATGTAAAGTACATTTCATAGTTTTGATCCTCTTCTGTCTTTTTCAGCAACGGACTCTGTAGTCTAGTGGCACAGTTACAGTAGGAATCACATCTGAGGAGCTCACGTTTTTGGGTTTTATGTTTTGTTTGGCTGGTTGAGCTATAGCTGAATGTCTTCTATAATAGCATCAAGAGCTGTTCTTTGTCTGTCATCACCAGTTCAGTGTTTTAATGGCACATGTTACTGATCCCACATCATCCCACATAAAACATGGGGTTGTAACCCTGCATTCACAGCAGCAGCGATGCAATGCGTCAAGGCGGCCGGAGGTCATTTATTTTCAATGAGAGCTGGCGATTTGGGCAACAGGAGGCAGTGAAAACTTTGCAGACGCAAAGTGAGCGAAGTCGGCGGCTCAAAAAAGTTAAGCAGAGTTTAACTTTATGCAAATAAGGAGTGAAGCGATGTGGCAATTACCAATAGGAATTAAGCATTGAGCAGCTTAGTATGCGCTTTATTTTCGCCACTGTGAAACAGTACGCTCTTTTTTTGGTTCCTAGATAGTTGTTCCCAGTGGTGGATGAAGTACACAAATCATGAACTTGAGTTAAAGTAGAGATACACAAGGTAAAATATTACTCCAGTAAAAGCAGAAGTTCCTCCCTTTAGACCTCCACTTGAGTAAAAGTATAAAAGTATTTGCCTTCAAATGTACTTAAGTATTGAAAGTAAAAGTACTACAAGATTAATTATGTCTCTAATGTCCTATTAGCATTTCTGTAACAAGACTCTTGCTTCATTAACTCATTTTAGGTGAAAATATTCTAGTGTCACTCTTTGGAAACCAATCTATTAATAGAATGTCTTTAATTAGTCTGACACTGATGTCTATTAAAATTATCATAAGCACAAAACACTGAAGGCAAACAGTCTCCATTAGGTAGAACCGAGTGGCCATGAAATAACTTTTGGCAAATAAGCAAAGTTTGAGTTTAAGATTTATTTGCGGCTTAGTTACAAGTTTAAGTTTAATAAAAAGCTTTAAACACTTCACAAATTAGTTTTCCTTTACTATATTGCATCTGTAGGTCTCTGTTCATAAACATAAACTAGCAAAAACAAATTTACTATAAAATGAAAGTGTTTGTATAAATTCAGAAAAGAAAGCAAGATGCCAGTCACGGCTGCATATGTGTACATATGTCTATAATGTGGTCTATTTACACAAAGTTAGGTTAGTTCTATCGTT